AATGAACTCTGAACACAGAGAGTGCAAAAACCACATCTCAACCTAAATAAAAACTCATAAATGCTATGGCAACACCTCAGGGACCAACAAAGAGGTAGGTATGCCAAATACTGACACAAGGTTGCTAATAATGATCCAAAACGATATAATGAGGCAGCAGTGCCTGATTTAGGCCTTGAAGAATAAATAGGGCTTAGGAGAAAAGGAAAAATGTGCAAGGACATTCCAGCGAGGAAAAACAAAACAAAAAAACAGTAAACTAAATGCAGAAAGTGTACCTTTTTTTCCCCCTAATGCCTAGCCCAGTCCTTGTCATATATTAAACACCAAATAAAGTTTATTCAAAGAGAAAGGAAAGGCATAAAGATAAATGATTACATAAATCATTTCTTTGAGTTAAGACCTTGGTCAGTAACAAGATAGCCTTTAACATTGCTCCTGATGGAAATTATGTTCTTTTCACCATAACCTACTTTGTGACATGGCTTCCAGGAAAAGTAGCAATCAGAAAGAGTAACCTCTGTAATTGATACGTGGAGAAAGGGTAGCTGTAACGAACTGTTAGGCTTGCTTTTTATTTTTCTTTTCCAGATATAAACAAGTTCTCTAAATGCCATGAATATATAGGTCACATTAAGGACTTTTACCGTTTTCCATTAAAATTATAAATGTTTAAATACAAACACCAATTACAAACTCTGACCAGAGAAAGAACTGAAGGAAGAAACAAGGTTCTGAACCCTTTCGTGGCCAAACAGCACAGTGCTCAGCACCTAATGAGAGCTTCCTATTTTATTCATTCACTTTTGCACGTGTGCTGCCAAAGCGGGCACTTATTAATTTGTTTTTGTAACAGTGAAGGAAAGACAGACCTGTGTACAGGGCGTGTTTTGGGATGAGAGGGATCTGGGCTGATAATCTCTGTGTCTGTGTGGATGTGGGAAAACTGTTTTCATTCTAAATTTTCACCCATATTTCTTCCCTTTCATCATTGTTGTAAAAGTTATATGAGACAGTGCTTATGAAGGACCCACGGGTCAAAGGAGGTCATGAAGTGAAGTAATTATTAGTAATGAGATCCCGGTAAATGCGAGTCGGTGCTCAGGAAAGAAGGCATTTTGCAAAAACAAAAGAGATTGAAATCCTTATTTTGTCCCCACGAAATGAGGTAATTAGGTAATTGGATGTTTTAGCAATTAGGGTGCTTCTTTTGATAACGGCAGCAGTAATGGCTAAATACAGAGGTCCACATGAAAATACAGCATTTTGGTAAATGTAACGAAGCTGAAGGCACGAACGTGGGCATTCTGTTTATCACTCAACAATTTCACTTGTTTGACGCTGACGTTATTTCCCTAATAATCTCCTCCACTGTGAGGAAACCACGTGAAGGACCCCAAGAAGGGTGCACAAACTGTGGACCACGGCTGTGGGCAAGTCAAGGGTAGAGCTGTTCTGCAAGAATGTTTATGGGGCAGCAAACATTGGGTTTTTAAAATTATTTGTAACTTGGGGCACCTGGGTGGCTCAGTCGGTTGAGCACCGACTTTAGCTCAGGTTCTGATTTCGAGGTGTCTGTGTTGAAGCCCACTTCGAATCCTCTGTCCCCCCTCTGTGCCCCTCCCCTGCTTGTGGTCTCCCAAATTTTTTTTTTCTTTTAATTAGGACTCTGTAATGCATTCGGTGCCCCAACTCCCCTACTTCCGTATCAAAGACTGAAATCTCTTTGCTACAAAATGTATTCTTTTTTTTTTTTTTAATTTTTTTTTTGAATGTTTTATTTATTTCTAGGAGTGAGAGAGACAGCGTGAGCAGGGTAGGGTCAGAGAGAGAGGGAGTCACAGACTGAAACAGGCTCCAGGCTCCGAGCTGGCAGTCAGCACAGAGCCCGACGCGGGGCCCGAACCCACGAACCGCGAGATCATGACCTGAGCGAAAGTCGGACGCTTAACCGACTAAGCCACCCAGGCGCCCCTACAAAATGTATTCTTAAGTATGCAGATGTTCAAATGTCTCCTGCTCTATCTTATGCTTACGCAGATTATCAAGAACTAGTGCTGTAGAAACAGAGAATCTTTATTTGTCAATGCAAATGTATAATACATTGGGAATGTGTTAAATGAGAATGAAGCTTAAAAAATTTTAATTTTTTTTTTAACGTTTATTCATTTTTGAGAGAATGAGTGGGGGAGAGACAGAGAGGAAGACACAGAATTCAAAGCAGGCTCCAGGCTCTGAGCTGTCAGCACAGGGCCACAAACTGTGAGATCATGACCTGAGCCGAAGTCGAATGCTTAACCAACTGAACCACCCAGGCGGCCCCCCCAAATTTTTTTAATAAAATGCAGCTTATAAATAAATGTTACATTTTAAAAATGTCTGTCATAGAAACAACCCGATATTTAATTTCTATGCCAGGTTTAGAAGACCTATAGATTATATGTTGTAGATGCATCCAATCATAAATTACATTTAACAATTTAACAACCTACAATTCAAAGTAGGTTGTCTACTTTGAATTGTTTTCTTATGGTGTCAAAGAAAGGCCTTTTGTTAAGTATACAAGAAAGACTATGTGTATATTACACATGTAATTTGTATGTTTTTTGAAACAATGTTCTCCCATTGAGAAAGGATTCACCCAGGGGCGCCTGGGTGGCTTAGTCGGTTAAGCGTCCGACTTTCGCTTAGGTCATGATCTCACGGTTCGTGGGTTCGAGCCCCGCGTCGGGCTCTGTGCTGACTGCCAGCTCAGAGCCTGGAGCCTGTTTCAATCTGTGACTCCCTCTCTCTCTGACCCTCCCCTGCTCACACTGTCTCCTCTCTCTCTCTCTCTCTCTCTCTCTCTCCTAGAAATAAATAAAACATTAAAAAAAAAAAAAAAGAAAGGATTCACCCAGTGTTCGTTCAAGGCATTGGTTCTTCCAGCAAGTTTGTAGTAAAGAGAAAACAGATGCAACGGAAGAAGTAGGGCAATTAGTGACACTGCCTAGCTTGCAAAACTTAGAAACTGAGTTCTAAGAACCTTAAGGCATTCATCGAAGCCTTCCCGTGCTTCGTTAGCGAGAGCGGTCCCTGGGAACGGATGCAGCCTCCCTCCCTGGGTTCAGACGGGACCTTCTGCCCCGTGACTGCTAAGGTGCCTTTCTCAGAATCCTGCCGCGAGCTTCCCACGGGGGGCATGCCCACATCATCGACCGTTATGACCTGACGCCAACAGTGTGGCCACCCTGCCCTGAAATCAGGAACCGTGTGCAAGGTTCTGGCAAGAGGTGACGGGTGAGCAGTCACCAAAAAGCAGAGAGGCCAAGGCTGTCGCCAGGTAATGACGGCAAGCCCCAGAGGCATTAACACGCGGTAAGGTGCGAGAAGGGGAAATGACATCACACTATGCAGAGAGCGTGGGGACTAGGCCTGGGGATTCCTCGAGCTTGCACCCATGGGTTCACAAGGCGTATATGCACAGGAAGCCTCAGGATGAAAGCATCCAAGGTTAGGCAAACAAGATTAGGTGTTCAGGGCGGAAGCCCCCCCCCAACTTAGTATTATCGCAGAAAGCTGCTTTCCCAGCAAGGAAGGCCCACAACAGGTACACAGAGCTATAGACGCCGGCAGGGGGAAGCAGAGCTAATCAGGAAAAGAACGGTGCCTCACTGGCCCCGAGGTGGCGTGCTGTGTCCTGTGCCCTAGGCTGGCTAAGAGAAACATTCGGAAACAACCACGTGCCCCACACTAAGTACTGACCCTCACACCCTGGGTCCTCAAAACCTCCTTTCTCTCATGCCCATGACTTCATGTTCACGGATTCATGGTCTTCTGTGCACATGCATCACGCCTGTAAGTGCCCGGACCCTAACAAAATCGAGCAAGGAGCCTTCCTCGGGGCTCTGGTCTCCTCCCGGACATTAGCCTCCCTTGCATTTTAATCCTGCGTCCGCGCCCTTGCTGGACAAGAGAGAACTCCAGACCCTGTGACAGCAGGGTAGACTCGAAGAAGACAATCGGCTCAGAAATACCGAGATGGCGCCCTGTCCCGGGGGGCAGAGATGTGACAAGTACCCCTCACTCTGTCCCTTCCTCCCTCTCCACCGCACAGTCGATAAAATGCCGTGGGAGGCCACTGGGCCCAGAGGATGGACAGGCCGGTCTCCACACGTGGCTTTCCCGCCAGCTGCGCATCCGAGCGCAGGGTTCCCTTCTCTGCAGCCCGGCGCTCACAGGCAGAGCACCTGTGCGGCTCAGTGCCAGCGTGGGGCTGGTCTCCGTAATTACAAGTCACCCGCCTCCCTGCCCGCACCAGCCACATCCCGGATGAGGAAGAACTCCGTTCTGCTCAACGGCCTCAGCCCCGACCCGCACAGCATCTGTCACACAACGTGTGCTTAATAAATGTTTCATGAACAAACCAGTTCCAAACTAAATGAGCAAGGAAGACAGAGAAGCAGAAACGAGCAAATGAATTAGTGGGGGGGGGGGGGGGGAAGTTCTTAAACGGCAATTAAGTTACTATTTAATCACAAGAGCAACTGCCTTAAATCCAACATCCCAAAACACATATTTACTGATGACACAGCAAGAATTAATGGGCTGGAGTGGATGAATCTGATCTTCTTCCTTATCTTGGGGGGGGCTAATTTTTTTTTTTTTTAAGTTTACTTATTCATATGGCATGTGAGACAGAATCCCAAGCAGGCTCCGCGCTGTCAGCACAGAGCCGAGTGCAGGGCTCGAACTCGCGAACCATCCGATCATGACCTGAGCCAGGGTCAAGAATCAGACACTTAACGGACTGAGCCACTCAGGTGCCCATGGGAGCCGAACCTGTGAATCAGGTGCATGTGAATACGGCATGGGGGGGAAGGCCAGAAGGAGGGGCTAATTTTTAAGACTTTAAAACGTTAAGAATTCAGTTTTACAGCTGCTCAGACACGTCCGCCCTGACAGTTGCATGCAGTCGAATCCCACTCACCAGCAGTCGTGGAAATAGCGTGGGAGCTCACCTTTCCTCCAGGCAAGGGCTCCGCGGTCGTGCTGTTCCACCCGGCTGCCCAGTGACCAGTGTTGACCACCTCCTGAAGCCGCCTGCGGGCACTGCTCAAACGCAGGAAAGAGCTGCCGCGTCACCACCGCCCCAGCCTCCGGCTGTGCAGCTTTGTGCCTCCTGAATCTTCCAACGCAACATCACCTGTAGCCACGTCACCCAGCAGCTACACTGCGGCTTCACAAACTTCCGGGTGCAGAGCAAATTCGGGGGGTGGATACGGAGCACGGGGTTCTGTTAAAATGCAGATTCTGCTTTAGGACACCTGTTAGGAGGCCTGCGATTCTTCCTCCATAGGACGCCTCCTGCAGGACGCCCTCCGGGAGTACCACCTCCACCACAGAAGGAAGAGCTTGTCCACCCCTATTTCCTCAGCATGAGGTTCACATTCCCTTCGCGAAACCGCAACGGGAACGAAACACTCCCCCCGTAGCGGGGTTGCGCTAGGCTTAGACTTTCTTCAGGACCAACGAGCGCGAAAACCAAAAGTCCTTTGGCATCACATCCGGGGCTCTGGCTTAGGGCTAGCGTTGTGGGCTCAGGTCCCGGCAGCCCGAGGGACGAGGAAAAAAGAACCCAACGCGAAGCCCGTTTGGGGAGCCCCGTTCACCCCCTCTTCCGGGCCAAGCCCCTCGCACATAGATTCTCCTACACGTGCACCCGTCGGGGGCAATGTGTCCTTCGACAGAGGAGACCGGGGAGCTGGCGGACAGGGATGCCAGCGGGCTTGGCCCCCATTTAAAGCTGTCTCTCGAGCCTCTCCGGAGCCACCAAACGACAGTGAGGCCGACTGACGAAGGCCGGGGCGGGAGGGGCACGAGCTTTACGGCGGAGCACCCGCAGGTAAGTCACCTGAGCAGCTCAGGGAGGTGGCGCGACCTGCGCAGGGTCACGAAGCCCAGGGAGCCTGAGGGGGGTGCCCGCGCCCGAAGCCACAGTGAGGCCTTTCCCATAATGCCCAGGGGGGAAGTAGAGGCAGGTGCTGAGAAGCGGCGAGGCACCAGGCCACACGCCTCACGTGGACCCAGCCCTTTGGGCCCGCCCCGAGAGGGCGGGGGCGGGGCAGAGGAAAGCCACTTCCGGGGGACAGCCGCGAAGAGGGCCAAGCTCTTCCGGTGCGCAGCGACGGAGGGTCGTTCAGGGTCAGTGAAGTCGCAAGCGAGGGGGTCAGCTAAAAAGCGCAGAGGGACTCCAACGCATCAGTAGGTATGGAAGACAGCAGGACTCGGGACGAAAGTGTTGCCCCTTACGCCCGGGTCAAGCGTCCCTGCGCGCCGCCATCTTGAGTGCCGTGGTTTACATGGAGTGGGCGGGGCCGCGGGGAGAATGCCTGCGTCACAATGCCGCGCGCATAGGCCCGCCCCAAACCCGTCGCGAGACCTTCCTGGGCAGGCGCGCCGCGAGCGTGGGCCAGCCCTGATAGGCGGGGCCTCGTTGAGTGACGGCCCGGCCCCGCCTTCCGGTTAAGGGGGCCGTTCAACCTGGAAGTGCCTCGGGCCTGCCTCGGTAGGGCGGCGCGCGGGGCGGGCGCGGGGCGGGCGCGGGGCGGGCGCGGGGCGGGCTCCAGCCCCTGGAGGTCGCTCCCGGGGGTGGGTGGGTCGGAGCGGGCCCCCGGAACTGGAGCTGGGGTGGCGGCGATTCCCGCGCCACCGCCCCCTGGGTGCTGACGGAAGCCGGGCCTGCACAGGCAGCCCGCGCTGACACGGAGCGCCCCACTGCACCTTGCAGAAATGAAACCACCCCCGGGGCTCGGCTGCAGTTAGGCCGAGCCTCCTCCCGCCCGCAACGGTGGTCTTAGGTTCCTAAATTCGAGGCCCAGGCCAAGTGCCTCATCTGAAGACCCCTGAGCCGGGGGAGGGGGCTGGGGGGAGGTAGGCCTGGGGTCCTCCAGGTGAGCAGCGTTTTGGCTGCGTGATTTCATGCACGTGGTCACATCAGGTGCACTGAGCCTTCCCGAAACAGTCCCGTCGTTAACTTTATCACAAGCAATCAAGTGGTGCTCTTCACATTTCTTGGAGCCTTCAATTGCCCTTGACAGTCATGACCTTTGTCTTAAGAAACTTGGTGATTGAATAAATATATGACATTATTGAATAATCGCTCATTGCATTATGGAATGATCGCTCGTTGCAATATGGAATAATCGTGGGCGTCAGTATTTTTTTGTTTTTAATATATGGATGCTTGCAATGGAAATGTGGGGCAATCCGGAATGGGGACTTCTTGTGAAATGTAGCCATGCACTTGCAAAGAATACATCCCTCCCTCCTTTGGAATTTGCTAGTGTCTTGTGATTTTACCTTTCACAATAGTAGCCCTCTCTCGAAAGTTAAAAGGTCAAAAAAAAAAAAAAAAAGCCTTGCCCGTTGTAATTTATTGATGTTTCTTGCCGAGTACTTGTAGATTGCATACTCTATGTGATGAATGCATATGGAATGTTTTTTCGATTCATAAAACTATATTGAGTCAAGGTGAAAGGGGAATAAAGTTTTCTTGAAAAATGTATTCATTAGACTTTAATTGAAGGTACTGTGCCTAGCACAGAGAATTGTATGTTAAAAGGCTTGAAATGATGACGACCCTAACACTCACCCCATGTGAAATAAACTATACCAATTAAACGGCATTTTTGTCTTTTGTTTGGTCAATTTCACAGCTAAAATGAAGCCCATCAACTTGTCCTTTTCAGCCTGCGGGTTTCTGGGCATTTACCACTTGGGGGCAGCATCAGCACTTTATAGACACGGCCGAAAGCTCCTGAAGGAAGTCAAGGCCTTTGCAGGGGCTTCTGCGGGGTCCTTGGTTGCTACCGTCCTGCTAACTGCACCAGAAAGACTAGAGGTAATTAAGTGGTAACTAGGCTGCTTTCCTTGTCAGGAAATTAAGACCCAGCGACGGAGAAGAAGGTTAGCTGCGCTAAGTTTACTGCACAGATATAATCCTTTTCCCGGGTAACAGAAAAGGTTACGACATTTCTTTTAAAATTTAATTATTAGGGATCTGTGCTCTGGATTTGGGAAAGATTATTTTAGTGACAGTGAGACGAGGAAATAAAATGCCTTCTTTTACTCTTGAGTATTTAGTCTTAAGATTGCAGCTCGGTTTCTTTCAAGCAAAGAATCTTTCTGTTTTATCTGATCATGAGAACACAGGGCCTGTTTTCAAAGCCCTGAGCATGTGGCCAGTAATGCTTTGTTCACTCCTATTGACAAACAGGTATACAAATGAAAACGTGGGCCAGTAATTTCTATTAAGTGGAATGATAACAGGGATTTTATTTGTTTTTCATTCCCAGTGAGAAGTCGTGAATTCTAAGCAATTTATCCCACAGTAATGAAAATAAGCTTCCATTAGGTATTTCATTTAATGCAATCTATGTTGTAAAAATGTGTTTTCTGCTTCTAGACAGCAACCATGCATTTGCTGACTGTGAGAGCTGTCTTCTATAGGTGAAAAATAGCATACTCATTCATTCCCTACATACTCTAGTGGCTTTAAGCAATAATCAAATAACAACACATTCATGCCCAAGAGCAAATTTAAGTCACATTTAAAATTTCAAAACTAGAAAATTTTAAACATCCAAAATCTGTTCTCAAATCGATGATAAGCTCCTTACGGAAGAGAAACTGGATTTAAGGCCAATTACTTGGAAATCCATTTATCTTTTCTTTCCCTTCTTTATATGGTGCCTTTATTGGTAACTTGGAAAGTGAGAAAAACTGTATACATTGCACAGAATGAGAATCTGAAGGCAGTGAACATATAAGTAAGGTGTGAACAGCCCCCAGGCTGGCAGAATCCTATCGTTTGGGTTGCAAGCCAGTTCCATTCCAGAACTTTTTAAGGCCAGATTCTACTCAGAGGTTGATTCCTCCTCCTTAGTGCCATCTTTCCTTTAGGTGGGGCAAATCCCCAGCCAGGGGGTTGAGTAGACTTGGTTCTGAATCCTCAGATTTAGAAATGTATTAATTATGGGGCCCTGGGGGGCTCAGTCTGTTGAGTGTCCAACTTCAGCTCAGGTCATGATCTCACGGTTCACACGTTCGAGCCCTGTGTCGGGCTCCATGCTGTCCGAGGAGAGCCTGCTTTGAATCCTCTGTCTCCCTCTCTCCATCTCTCAAAATTAAACACTTAAAAAAGAAAAAAGAAAAGAACTGTATCAAGTGTGAATTAGGAATGATGTGATTCGAAAATCCTGCCATAATACAGGCACTTAGCTGAAATTCAGTGATGTTAAGATATTGACGGTTTATCTGGATTCAAGATTTGATATCACATATTAAGCTAGATTACCTGTTCCGTGTTTTTTCAACCAATTGGAGACCCATCGTATTACTAGTGGTGTTGCTATGATTAAGTTGGCTGGTAAGTTGGTAAAGGGGATGGACAAACTGGGTGTTCACACTGGAAGGTGGAACATGATTCTCTGTATTTACCTAGAACATCCTCATTTCTCTTTTTTCAACAACAATTTTCAGCCAGTTGGATTAAGGTTATTTGACTTTTCTTGTCAGCCTTTGAAATCCATCACCCATAGGGTTGCTTTGAGTTTTTTAGCACACTGTTTTGGACTTAGCCACGTCCGCGTTAGCTCAGCTCTTGCTGACGGTTCCTCGAGCTTTGTGGTGTTGTGACAAACACGTGAGTAATTAATCTAGTTCAGAGCGTAGGCCTGTATAATTAAGAGGAGCACCTGACGCTCGGTGGATTTTAGGTGGCAGGCAAATTTCGACGTCGATCCGGAAGAGCTCAGTGCCACAAGCCTTTCCTCGGCCCTCACGGCTTGCAAGGCACGGTGTGGGAACACAAAGATGAGTAAGTCCATCCCTTAATCAGTTTCCAGTGTGAGCAGAGGTGTGTGTAACTAAACTTAACACCAGAAAGTAGGTCAGGTGGGCAGTGTAGCCTTGTACACGGAGCACACATTCTAGGGGCCGTCCTCGCGGGGGCTTCCTGACCGCGGGCCTGCATCCACTCCCACTGCCGACAAACCACCCACCTCACGGCACCGGCGCTGTTTTTACTCAAACTTAAATCTCATTCTCTTATCCCTTCCACCCTCCCCGCCCCGACTCTGTCTTGAGTCAGAATAGGGTCCAGATTTCTAGGCATGCCTCCCAAGGCCGCAGGTGACTCAGTCCTCACACAGCTCACCGACGATGACCGTCAGGCCAGCGTTCCTGCTGGCTTGTGCTCAGATGTCTCCGTCCTCCCCAGCTACTCCCATCTCCTGTCCGGCTTCTCCGCAAATTTAGGTCCCAACTGTACACATCACGCTGGAGGGTGGTTTCGTTAATGCCCACTGTGTTAGTTTCTTCTTGCTGCTACGATAACACGTCTCAGTGGCCTAAAACTGCACACATTTATTCTCTTACAGCTCTGGAGGTCATAATTCTGAACCAAAATCAGATTGTCAGCAGGGCCAGGCTCCGTCCGGAAAGTCCCAAGGAGACTCTGTGTCCTTGTCTTTACAGTTTCCAGAGGGACAGCCTGCATTCCTGGGGTCACAGCCCCGCCCTCGCTCTTTAACCCTTACCCACAGCAGCTTCAGATCTCTCTCCCGTGACACTTCTGACTCCCCCTTTCTCTTACAGGGACCCTTGTGATGGCGTTGGCCTCACCTAGATAATCCGGGGCAATTTCCCATCTCAAAACCTTTTTTTTTTTTTGTTTAATTTTTTTTTTTGTTTTTTAATAATTATTGAGACTGAGAGAAACCGAGCATGAGTGGGGGAGGGGTAGAGAGCGAGGGAGACACAGAATCCGACACATGCTCTAGGCTCTGAGCTGTGAGCACAGAGCCCGATGTGGGGCTCGAACCCACTTCCCACGAGATCATGACCTGAGCTGGTGTTGGACGCTTAACCGACTGAGCCACTCAGGCGCCCCTCAAAACCTTTAATCACATCTGCAAGATTGCTTTGCTCATGTGAGGAAACACACAGCACAGGGACTAGAATGCGGACATCTTTGGGGGTGAGAGGCTCGGTTCTCACAGCGCTCCCACAGCACTCCGGGGCCCGCGCACTGATGCACTGCTATGTCTCATGAGCGAAGGGGCTCTTTGTATATCGTTCCGGCCAAACCCCAGTGCCTAGCACCCCATACTGGTTGCTTAATGTTTGAATTAATAAAGGAAAGATAGACCTGGGTTCAAATCCTGACTCTGGAGGGTTTTTGTTGAAAGCCTGGGAGAGAGGCTTAATCTCTTCAAGCCTCAGACCTCTTAACTGTCAAGTGGGGTGATTGTGCCCACGTGGCTGACAGTAGCTGGATCCGTGGATACCAGCACATTAGATGCACCCACCGTCCCCCCCACCCCACTCCCTACCCCTCAGAGACTGTTACAAATACCAGTGCCTGAGACTGGGTTCCAAAGACAAACGGCGGTCATCATGACTCCTCTGTTGGTCATTCAGTGTCATTAATAATCAGCACTGTCCGCAGTCAGACTGTTCCAGAGGCCATAGAATTGGGATGGGAGAGGAGGTCAGTTGTCTTGGAAAAATGTGTCGGAGAATGTGCTAAGTGAGCATCAGAACTCAGACTTCAAGGATTTCTCAGATGTGGCCAAAGCCATTTGAACTGGTTTAAAAAGAAAAGAAAGAAGGAAAAGAAATGATTGCGTTTTGAGAACCCACAGCTTGCCTGGAGACTAAGAATGGTAGGTGAGGGCCAGGTCAGATGGGGATTCACATACCTGTGAAGGAAAGTGGCCCCCGAACTCCGAGGGTTGGGTTTATAGGGTGTAGGGTCCAGGTTCCTTGTGTGATGGCCACAGCATTCTGGGAAAAGTAGGAATTTGTTGTTTACAAATCATAGGGTCACCCATTCATTTTCTTTTCCAGGAATGTAACGAATTTACCTACAAGTTTGCCGAAGAAATCCGAAGGCAGTATTTTGGGGCAGTAACACCCGGCTACGATTTCATGGCCCAACTGAGGTATACCTACGTATCTAGAACATTTCCCCCAAAGCATGTGAAGACAGAATGTGGAGGGAGCTCTGTGTAAACTGTGGCAAGCTCAGCGCAACGTTCTCTCCTCTAAAATATTTACAAGGCGTTCAATAATTCAAGGTGAGTAATGCGGGTCACTTTCTCTTCTTTAGAAGCGGAATGGACTTGATTCTCCCTCCCAACGCTCACGAGCTGGCCCATAACCGACTGTACGTATCTATCACCAACATGAAAACCAGAAAAAATTACCTGGCCTCCACGTTTTCCTCCAGGGAGGACCTTATTAAGGTAACACAGCCACATTTCACGATCGAGGAGTTCAGCGAGTACTGATTTAAATATTTCTCACAGCCAGTGAGCATCAGCATGCCCTACAGACCCACGGTTTCCTATCACAGAATGGCGTGTGCTCAGTAAATCATGTGTTTGGTGGATGGGTTAACCAGTGTCCCTGGGTGTCCCAAGATTTCATCCACCTGCTGCCTTACTCAGTCCTTCCCAGGCCACCTGTACATCAGGGAAGACAGATGGGATTACTGCCCTTTTACTGGGTTTTTAACAGAGGACAAGTTGTGGGGGAGGGAAGGAGATTTTCCATGACATATTTAAGGTCACGAGGACTAGCCAGTGGGAATGGACTGGACCCCAGGTCTGTTCTTCAGTCTCATGCTCCACTTGATGGTCCCATTTTGTTTTCATTCTTTTCTATCCCAAAGCATTTGAAAGTTGCTCAGTGGTGAATTTATTATCTCTGGGAAATACTTTGGCTAGAGTTGCAAATAACAGTGTGCTTGCTAAGATAATACATCCAATATTTGTAAATTGGAAAGAATGCACTTTTCTTGCAAAAGCTGGGCAGCTTTTCTCTTTCTTTCCCCCTTTGTGGGAATCATGGGAAGCTTTGGATAACATGGCGGATGTGTGTTTGGTTACAGCAGTGGACGACGGATTGAGAGTGACTGCTAAAAGTTCCGCCTGAATTGCATGTTAAATGCATTGATTTTTACTATCGAATCGGACTGCTCGAGTTTTACTGTGTGGGTGATATAATCTGAAATACCTAATGAAATGTTGAACTGACAAGTGAAATTACTTTGTGACTTAATACATTAGAATATTTTTACGCGGTGTGCTGACTATGCTAGTCTCTGGCTTATAAGTTAATAGTCTTCCCATCTTAGAAAAACACACTTTTCTGTAATCACATGGAGACTTGCAAAGTACAAAGGGAGAAGCCGGTCAGTCTCTGCGTGACTCGTCACAACGTGCCGATGCCGGTACAGACACGGAGGCTGTGGGTGTGTTGGTGTTGGAAGACCTCTTGGGGTTTGCACAGGAGGAATTCATCACAGTCACTTCCTCCTCGTTGCATCTGTCCTGGGCCGCTGTCTGCACTGGCAGCGACCTGATGTGTCCTGTCTCCTGTCTTCCCTTCCTTGTCACTGTTCACATGCTACGTACTTTCCTGCTTTAGGACTTCGTTTTTACTGTCAGTCTGTGTTCACTAGAATGTAAGCTCTGCGTGGGCAAGAGCCACTCTGCTTTCTCCGCTCTCCCGGCCCCTACGCCTGGCACAGCACCAGCTAGAGCCCCGTGTGCTCAGCGAGTGACTGACTGAACACCTAAACAGACTCACGTGGCATCTGTCACAGTGGCCTCACTTAAGACGAAAGGACAAGTGTCTGGATCCTCCACGTGGAGTGACCCATACAAAATAACTTAGCCGGGGCGCCCAGGTGGCTCAGTCGGTGGAGCGTCCGACTTCGGCTCAGGTCAGGATCTCACAGTTCGTGGGTTCGAGCCCCGCGTCGGGCTCTGTGCTGACAGCTCGGAGCCAGGACTCTGCTTCAGATTCTATGTCTCCCTCTCTCTGTGCCCCTCCCCTGCTGGTGTTCTGTCTCTCTCTCTCTCCCTCTCAAAAATAAATAAACATCAAAAAAGATTAAAAAACAAAATAACTTAGCTGGTCAGTGGCCCTGCTGGGAAGACAGCCCAGGTCTCCAACATTCTACACGATTACATGTAGATTATCATATGCCGGACAAAATTATCCTCCTCGCAGGTCTTTTTTTTTTTTTTTTTTTTTAATTTTATTGACTTTGAGAGAGAGTGCATGCGGGAGGAGGACAGAAAGGGAGATAGAGAAATAAGCCCAAGTGGGCAGAGCCCGACACAGGGTCAAAGTCGCCAACCAAGAGATCATGACCTGAGCTAAAATCAAGAGTCAGACGCTTAACCGACTCGGTCCCCCAAGCGTCCCGTCTCTCAGTTCCTTTTATGTGGCCGTGTGGTTGGCTGAATAACGGCCCCCAAAGATGTCCACACCCTAATCTCCAGCACCTGTGAATGTGTCACCTCCTGTGGCAAAAAGGATTTTGTAGGTACAATTGAGGTAAAGATCTAGAAATGGGGACAGGATCCCAAACTATCTGGGTGGATCCAAACTAAGTCCATGAGTCCTCACAAATGGAGGTCTTTCCCATTGCTGGTTCTGAGCCGTAGAGCCCTCATGGAGGTGGAGGACACATGTAGTGGGTGCTCTGGGTGCTGGGGTCGCTTCCCTCCAGCAGCCAGCCAGGCAAGGGGACTTCTGTCCAGGAGCCGGCATGACTGAACTCAGCCAGCATGTGAACGAGTTCAGTCCCTGCCAGCTTGCTTTTAGCTCCACGAGAAATTTCGATCTCTAGATGGCCCGGGGACGGACTTGTGTTATTTCACGCCTCTACGTTTGTGGTAATTTGTTACAGCAGCAACAGCAAACTATTGCAGTAAGTAAACATGATTTTTTTTCAATTTCCTTTGTTTTGGATAATAACTATTCAGAGAATTGGTGTAATTACTTGAGTTCATTGAACAGATGAGAAATAGTTGACACAAATGTGTAATATCTTGTAAGAAGAATAATTGAATAATTAACATTTATCTAGGTTCTACAAGAAGCGTTTTAAATGTTTAGCAGAAAGCTCTAACCTTTTTCAGAACGGAAAATAGGAAGGGGAGATAGTTCTTTGATGGCAGACAGTGACTGTAAAATGTCTGATACCCACGCCTGGGATAGTCGGGAAGCACTGAGTTCAAGAGCAGGATTGAGCCGAGGCTACATGAGGGCAGATGAAGACACATGGGGTCGGGGGAAGAAAGCCAACTCCCTTCTGGGTGGGGACGTGACCAGCTCATGTGCTCTGGGTAACAGAGAGGCCGGTGGCAGAATGCCCTGTGAAGTGGCACGTGCCCGGGTGGCCGTTCTGACCATGTAGAGCAGCAGGAGGGAGAGAAGGAAGCCCAGAGCCAGCCTTTCCACTCCCCTGGCAGAGAGACAGGGAGACGGGAGGCCTCCCAAAGCCAAGAGGGAGCAGCCCCATGGTGCACAGCTGGTCTCCTGGGAGTGTTGTACGCCTGGCCTTGAACACAGCCTTGGGTTTGCTTCCTGGTTGTTAAGTTTATAGATTTATTTTGAGAGAGAGTGAGAGAGAGGCAGGGAGAGAGGGAGAAAGGGAATCCCAAGCAGGCTCCATGCTGTCAGCACAGAGCCCAACGAGGGGCTCGATCCCATGAACCATGAGATGATGGATGACCTGTGCCGAAATAAGAGTTGGACGCTTAACGGACTGAACCATCCAGGCGCCCTACCCTGTTGCATTTTATATCCATTTTATCATTAACTATTTATTCCCTTACCAACTAGCGTCTTGGTGTTGTTGTTAATGCTGGGCTCTTTATTACCCACCAGCTGGCCGCCATTTTCTATTACAGAGAGGGCGCCTGTGTAGGTTAAAGTGTGCCTGTGTGCACACACGTGCTCACTTGGAGTACTGCATGTTTCATGTGCCTCTCCCAGCATTTATATCTAGGTCTGTCATTTCCTCACAGTGTCCTCTGGGGCTAATGATGTTGGAGTCTCAGTTTGCCCAACTGTGAAATGGAGGTAATAAGTCAATCTGTGTCACCATGGACAGCACATTAAATGAAGCATGGAGAAGTATGTTTCAGCAGGAAATCCCTGTGTGCATGTTGGTTAAAGCCAGTATGTAGTAAATGGTAAACTAATAAGGTTGTAAGCCACACATGTTACCGGTTAGCATGCGCATAGGAGTCTGTTGTGAAATTTGAAGTATCACAGCTTTCTTCCTGTGGGGAAGAAGTCACCTTTTCTTACACACTGCTTTTGCTTCTTACTTATCACCTGTGTTCACGAACACTGTGCTAATCTGATTCTATAACATCTCAGGAAATGGATTACTACCCAGTTTTGCCACCTTTTTGGCATTTAATTTTACACCTCTTTACCATTAGCTTCCTTTTATAAATTTGCTTTTGTTCAGCGACTCACACTTAAGTTTTATTAACTTCACGTTTAGTTGAATAAAAGATGATTCTTTCATGTGATATCTGCATGGATAGTTGATTATTTTCTACGAACCTCTGTTCGCCACTCACGTGCTCCAAAGATTCCCTTAGAATTGGATTTCGATAGTGTTCTGAATCTTATGTCCGCAGTGACTTAACTCAGTGCTATGGTCTGAACGTTTGTAATCCCCCTTCCCCGACTCCTAAAGTGAATGGAGGGTCCCTGACATGATAATATCGGAGGTGGGTCTTTGGGAGGTGAGTAGGTCATGAAGGTAGAGCCCTCATAACTGGGATTAGTGCCCTGATACAAGAGACCCTACACTTAGGTCACACTCCCTTCCTCGTGAGAGAACAGGAAGAAGCAGGCTCTCAGCAGGCACAGAATCCACCACCACCTCGATCTTGGACGTCCCCACCCCCAGAAATGGGAGAAATCAATTTCTGTTGCTGATAAGCCACCCGGCCTGTGGTGTTTTGCTGCAGCCTCCCAAATGGACTAAGACAGGAAACTGTGTGCTTCTGTAACACATGCCTGCACATTCGGAAGCAGCTTTGGAACGGGGTAACAGACGGAGCCTGGGAGAGACTACAGGTACATGCTAGAACGAGTCCATGTTGCTGTGAATGGACCTGTAGAGGTGATTCTGAAGAGGACACAGAAAAGAAAGAGAAGAGCTGGAGAGAGAGCCGCCATCTTCGTAACGAATCCGTAAGGGCCTGGAAGCAGAATGTTGGTAGAGCTGTGCACAGCAAAGCCATGCTGATGAGGTCTCGGAGAGAAACCGGGACACACTCTTGAACACTGGAGGAAAGGCCCTCCTTGCTACGAGGGAACAAAGAACTTGCCTGAACTGTGTTCTTGTCCCAGCGTGGTCTGGAAGGTTGTACTTGGAAGTGATGACAAGGAATATTTGAGGAGTCCTCATTCTAAGTGGAGT